TCTTCACGAGTTTGGTTTTAATAAATTCAAATGTTTACTCTAGCATGCCCGAAGGACTTCTGAGGCACTTTTTCTGTACAGGCAGGAGTGACCAATAATGCTGAAAGACGGACCACACTTTATAGCAAGTTATGCGGCATACAGTTGTTCAGAAGTAGTTCTTTTATAAGTCTTAGCCTTCACATGACACAGCACCATATAAGGCGAAACGACAGAACAGTATATCAAATTTTCTTTGAAAGTTCTGATTTGCGCAAATTATTTTCTCACTTTTCAAGAACTGGCACTGAGGAAATAATATGCATAACTCAATAAGATATAAGCCTAGTTCCCTTCTACTCAGTCAGTAATATTACACACGCGTAAAAAATCGCGATTCAAAATGCACACTGGAATATTGGTGAAAATATGAAACCAACAACTAATTAGGTACGAGCCTAGTCCTATTGGGAAGAACAATTTAATGACACTTGTTTAGTAAAAGATAACCGCTGGCTTAGCTTCAAAATGTATAAATGTTTTCGCCCTGCGATTAATTTGATTTTGTATCTTAAAATCTCTCCATTATTAGATCCAGCTTATTGATAAGGGAAAAAATCCTAAGTAATAAAAAGTATTCTTACATATATTCTTCAAAAATTAATTTGACTGTTTTTATATCAAATTTCAAAGCTTATATTTTTTTCAGTACTGGTATTACGTAGGAAATCCTCATTTTTCTAGAACCACAAGAAACGGGCTTTTTTAGGAGGACAAACAAATACGATTTGAATTATAGACTCTTGGGGCGTATCTGACGGGGCAAAAATCTGGAATTTTTCACGTTTGGACAGCCTGTGATTTGGCAATGAAGAGACTTGAATGGACTCTCTTGTTTTTGGATCCGATATTAGGCTTTGTTATTGATCAAAGTTTTGAGGAAATTTGAAAATCGCTAGAGAAAAGTGTGTGAGTTGGTGGAAGATGACTCCATGAGGACTTTTCTTGTTCAAACTTTTATTTTTTAAAAACGCTAAGTGGAATTTATAGGTGAACATGGCCATTAACTTTCAGATTGTTCATTTTCAAAACGTTAATTTTTTTAATATACTTTGAGATAAAAGTCTGATGGACGATAACGTGGATAAGACTTAATGACATATGCAGAAAACAAAACTATTTTACTTGAATTGATTGCTGCATGGAACAACCATCATTCTAGTAAGCATTTTTTCTTTCAAATTTAGTTAGTTGCAGCTGCCACAATCATTAAATGTTTCTGGGAAGCGTTCATTAGAAAAGCATGTCATATAGCACCACTAATTTAAGAAGTGCTTAGTTTTTCATTCTCCACTTGAGAATTAATAATAAATAAGTGAAAGAACGTAGGTGCGAAACGAATGGCAGTTTTATAAAAAGACTTTGGTTTGACAAAATATTTCGGTTGAGATTGCGTCGCATACCGCTGCAAAGTAGTGGAAACTTGATTCTGTGAAATAGTTTATATCAAAATATTCTTTCGAATCCCAGGCCTTTTTTTCGCTGTTCTGCGGTCGCTGAATGGTCACTTTACAGATTGACAAAGCTATGGCTTGGTAAATCAGCGGTTGGAAAATGCAACAGAAGGCAATTCATGTCTTATGTCATTAAGCGAAACTGATAACAAGAGCCTTGAAAAGTGCAACTTTCTGGAAAAGCTTGCTAAAAGTGCAGCGGTAGCGGACGAAAACGATGCTCACAAATAACGAAGACAAGGAGGTGAGGCTGGGTGAATATGGCGGTGATTTGGAAAGCCATCAAATTTCTGTGGCTACTAGCGACCTATTTTTTTCTGTGAAACATTCTATTTCCATGACTCGCCTCCACTAATACAGTGAATTTCCAGTGAACTTCTCTCCAACAGTACCCAAATGACCGCATTTCCCACGGCACCTTACTGTTGCTGTAAGCACCACTTTCAGGAATGCATAGTCAATCCCTCAACTTTCCAACACTTTGAATTTCAAAAATCTAGTCCGCAGTTTTAATGTTTTGCAAAAATGAGTTACCAGCGATCTACCCTTACACGAATTTTACACCCTTATACGCACTGTATTTCTTTTCTTCTTCAAACCAACTTATCTCAGCATCCCCAAATTTAATTATTTTAAAACTTCAAATAGCATTCAGATTTTGGCGCAGAATGGCTCTTTATAAAAAGTTTGTTTGACAGCAGTGATCTGAAGGTATCCAAAAAAAAATAACTGCTATGTATCACTGGCTGGACCAATTGTAATAGAAATAAAGTAGTAGTAATTGCTAAATTATTTCTCAATTCTTGTGCTTTATAAGGGAATAATTTTTTGCATTTTTTAACTTTAAAAAGACCGCTATTTTGGTAATGTAATCTGTTACTATACCTGTTTCAACACGATACCGTATTTGTAAAAGCTCTCGGCCCTGCTTGCACAGCTAACAATTTTTGCCGGAATAGTAAACCCTAAACTGGTTAGCTGTCGAATTTCTTTTAACAGTTTGATCAGCCGATCGTTGTATGATACAGTTAAGGAGCCATATTTATGATCAAAAATTAACAGCTCGGCACTTGTTTCCAGCAGCACGGTTCTGTCGTCATTATCAATTGCAGCATTTAAATCTCGACACCTACAATAATTTTTTTGATGATAAAGAAAAATTTCAGTTATCAAATAATGATTGTTTCGTTCTGTCAGGTTTTTTTAAAAGATTTAAAGGTTTTTTAAATTACACAGAACTTTGTGATTTGCTGTAAATACAGGCACTCCTAAAAATGTTTGCAACAGTAGTTAACGACCGAGACATACCACGAATCGTACTGTTCACTTTCAGCGGTTTTTAATTCGTTAATCAGTTCTCGAAGCTTTGCCTTTACTGACTCGTACAAGGGCAAATCATTCAGTAATGTAGTAACAAAAGCGTCTTCATTTTCCAACTCCAAAGTTCCAGTATTATAAACGACAAAAAATACTTTGAAACATCAGATTTAATTTTCATTAAACACACGTGCAGATGAATGATAAATATTTCTCATATAGAAAACATAAAATGAATTATTATTTTCTACTGTGCAAGTAAAGCAGAGCTAAATGTCAATGCAGAATCAACAAAAATTATTGTTGAGAACAACGAAGCTTTGAGTACCTCAACTAATTGTCTGCGAATCCACAGAATGCGTCCTGCAATTTCGCTTAAAAACTTTGCGTCTTCGAAACTATCATCCAAAATCTGCTTAGTTTTTTGCCGCTTGTCTGATATGGATTCGGACAATCGCAGTAGAAGTGACTCACTAGATAAAGTAATGAATAGTTAAAAAGACAGAAAATGTTTAAATTGGTTTCAAAATTTAAAAATTAAAGATTATTGGGAATTAGATTTGGCGTGCTATCTGGAATATTGTACAGGCACAGTGATTCGAACTACGCTGTTTTGTTAATGTTCACTGTATAATGAAAGCAAAGAAATTTACCGTTCAGGCAAAAGAAGTTCCCTGATAAACGGTAATTGAAGAAGATGCTTATTGTTATGAAGATTCCTTATGTTCTGAAAAAAGAGTGTAAAATTCCAATGTGTTTTAGGCATATGGTAAGCTGATCTGCTGAAACCCTTAGGTTTTTCGTTCTATAATTATTTCACTAATTTCAATAAAACAAACAGTTCTTTGTTTTCCATTTACGACTTAGATGGCTAAAACTGAATTGAAAAAAAATGTCTATTGTCGTACAAAAATTATAATGTCAAAATTAGATATTTTAACAGTATAATTTTTGTACGACAAATCATTAAAAAATTTAAACCTGAAAAATTATCAGAAAATGAGGTTTGAGAACTGCATCTTGTAAAACCACTTTTCCTCTTAATAACTACCCAGTCTACTAACTTGATGATTTCATATAAGTTTTCTCATAAGTTAAAGAAAAGCGTTACACTAGCCTACCTCGTCGCTTATAAACTTCTCCGGATTAATTAAAGTTCGAATCTGCGGTACCGCACGTTCAATAGCAGGTTCTAAGCTTTTGTACACATCCTTAAAATAAAGTTCGTACAATTGGGGTAACTTAAGCTTAGTAACCTTTGTTATGCACTGGAAAATAACAAATCTACCTGAAGTTTTACTGCCCACGACAAATTCTCGTGCTCATTATACAGGATACGATTGAAATTTTTCATAGACTTTTTCATTATTTCTTGTACATTCTTAACTGCATCCTTTTCATCCAAGAACTGGGTAAGCTGATTACCAAACTTTCTTAATGATGATATCTTAAAAAAAAACATTAACATAGCCTTGAAAGACCATTCATAGAGCAATTTTTCGTGAAAATATTTAAGTCCATTGTTTGTTATTTAGAAAAATTGATTCTTACAAAATCTCTATTTAACCTGTTCAAGTCGATTTTTAAAGATGATTAAAAAATCTAGCTTTAAAACGTCCCCTCTCCAGACGTTACCGACATATCTCTTCCATATATTTCCAGTAAGCAACTCTACTGCAAATAGCCATTGGTCACACAGCCCGATACTCAGCTCCAAAGCGTCTCCCACAACTTCGCTTTGCCAACCGTCAGTTTCGCCTAGTTTTTCAGATATAGTTTGTGAAAGCTCAACGCCTAAAAAAACATTTGAACAATAAATGCGACGTTAACCAAAGTTTCCCAACCAGATAAGTCTTGCTGAATACAAAAAAAAAAAAAAAAAAAAAAAAAAAATTTTT